TTAATAATTAAAAAATATTAAATGATTTTTTTTTTGTTTTTAATACTATTTTTTTAGTCTTTTTAATCGAAAGTGTGTCATGTCAGCATTTAACAGAGGAATTGACAATCATTTGACAAAATGTATAACATTGCAACAAATTCGAAGATACAAGATGACATTGAAACTTTTAAAAAATGAGGTATAAAATTATTAATAATCAATAGTTAAAGTAATTCTACTCAAAAAATTTTAAAACTCGTTTGAATGTATTTTGCAAAACCGCATTTTCTTTAAAAATATTTTCAGTTATTTTAAAAACATATTAAACAGAGAGGTTCTAAAACAAAATCACCGATGGTGAGCCTTTTAACCGTCTTTACATGGACCGGCAAAGAAAAGACTCAGTGGCGGAAAAATGAAGGAAGACGCCGCATCACCACCACCACCACCAGAGGACTCTTCCTTCACGTCATGCAAAGACGTTCCCAATCTCCTCTCCTCTTTCGTCGACACCTTCGTCGATTTCTCCGTCAGCGGCGGCCTCTTCCTCTTGCCCCAAACCCCCAGTCATCCCCTTCCCGCCTCCCCTCAAAATCACAAAAATGCCCTCACTGCCTGCTACAGCCCCAGCGATCCCCTGCTCTTGCGCCCACCACTCCAAACCTATTACCCCCCGCAGGACCGGTTGGTCGCGATCGGCGATCTCCACGGCGACCTGGAGAAGACCAAGGAATCGCTAAGGCTTGCTAAATTGGTTGACCTGGAGTCGGGTAAATGGGTCGGAGGGTCCACCACCGTGGTCCAGATTGGCGACGTGCTGGACCGTGGCGGCGACGAGATTAAAATCCTCTATTATCTCGAGAAATTGAAACGGGAAGCCGCCAGGTGCGGCGGCACGGTGATTACGATGCACGGCAACCACGAGATCATGAATGTGGAAGGAGATTTCAGGTATGTGACCCGCAAGGGTTTGGATGAGTTCAGGGTTTGGGCTGACTGGTATTGCATTGGGAACCGAATGAAATCGATCTGTAAAGGGTTGGAAAAGCCGAAGGATCCCTTTGATGGGGTGCCCTTAGGGTTTAAGAATGTGAAGGAAGAGTTTGCTCATGGGTTTAGAGCTAGAATTGCAGCATTGAGGCCATCGGGTCCAATTTCGTCGCGGTTCTTGTCCAACAATGTGGCTGTGTTGGTTGTGGGGGACTCTGTTTTCGTCCACGGCGGGCTTTTGGGCCAACACGTTTCATATGGTCTGGAGAAGATCAATGAGGAGCTGAGGGAGTGGATTCATGGGTTGAAGGGAAGAATCGCGCCTGAGTATTGTCGAGGTGCTAATTCTGTGGTTTGGCTGAGGAAATTTTCGCATGAATACGAGGATAAATGTGATTGCTCAGCACTTGAACATGTTTTAGCTACCATTCCGGGCGCAAAGAGGATGATTATGGGTCATACCATTCAAGAGTTTGGGATTAATGGTGTTTGCAACGAGAGAGCAATTCGGATTGATGTAGGGATGTCAAAGGGGTGTACAAATGGCTTGCCTGAAGTTTTGGAGATCAAGGGGAATTCGGGTTTGAGGATCTTGACCTCAAATCCACTGTACGAGAACAAGAAAAAATCTACCGTGCATAATGAGATACCCGCATTTTTGCCGCAAGGACCGAAACAAGTGGAAGTGAAGGCTTAACTGTTTGAGTATTTATCCTAAACCTGATTATTCCTATTTAAAACAGATATGGATTTGTATTCTGTTAAACTATTATTCAGCTGTCTCTGGCAGTGTAGATAATTAATTATCTATAGTTCAAGTTGGAAACTGAATCAATACTGAAGCTTTGGTATTTTTCAATTTGTTACTATAGCTGTTTTGTTTCTTCAATGTGAAACATTAGTACTATCCCTTTCCATGTTTCTACTGTTTTGTTAAACTTTCTGGCGTTGCTTGTGCTTGCATATTCTTCTTCGCTGTCATTTTATCTGACTTTTTTTGATGTGTTATTGATCAGTCGTATCCTGACTTAGGCATATCTGCTGGAGGATAAGGTATTGTCTTCTTGATATGCTTCCATATTGATTCTGATCGTTATCTCTGTTGAAACGTTAAACTTGAATGCTCTTTTCAGCTGGTGTTGTTCGCAGTTTTGCTGTAATGATTGATTTCAAAATAGACGTCATCTTGAAATATGGTTGTGTTTGAGTTCAATCTAAGCAAGCTTCAGAGATGTTATCTTGAAATAGGAGGAGTTTTCAAGAGCATGCTGTATTGCACTTATCCTTGCAGTTCTTCAGCTGCCATTATCACTCTTAGCCATCTTTGTTTGGAAAACTGCCTCTACCTCAAGCTCGCCTGCAAGCTCCAGCTCACCAGGTATTAGAAAATTATAAGAAAGTTATAAAACTAATGAATGCGATAGTACTGGAGTTGAGTTCATTCAAATTTAGTGATGTCTGTTTAAGCTGAAACAGAAATGAGTTTGAGATTTAACCCCAGATAGCGCTTAAAGTGTCGATTTGCAAAGATAGAATGCAGGACACGGACACGGAAAGTCTTTGTAACTTTACCTTCATTAATTCCTAGGGCGACATTTGTTTAATGGATTGGATCGATATATTCAACCATTTAGTGGAGACTAGAGATGATCAATGAAGTTGATAACGAACCATTGATCGTCCAATTTTCTTGCTTAGACCTCTAGATTGCATTTGGTAGCTCCACTAAATCGGCATACGGTTTTGTTGTTTTCGAGTTGTGAACAGGTAATAAACAGAGTTTGTTTGAAGTTCTGCAAGTGTTGTATGAGGAAGGAACAGAGCACAGGTTGTATTCTATAACCTCAAAACAAATTCTAAGATCTTGATTCTTGACTATAACAAATGTGCTTAGTTCAAATTTTATTTAGGAGTAATATTGAGGACCCATTTGGTTCGTGAATTAAGGGATCGTGAATGAGTATGAAACACTTATTTACTTTTCATTAAAAGCAATCCCGCCTATAGCTACCTAGGTGGTTGGCTACTGTCACAATAATCTTTTGCCGTTTAAAAAATAACAGGTGTGTGCTTAGACCCGCCTACAACCATCTAAGAACCCGCTTAGGTTGCGACTCTCATTTAAACAAAAAATAGGCAGTTTTATATTTTCTATTTATCTTTTAAATAAATTGAAAGAAACTTATTAGATACTTGGATGAACACTAATCATATGTTTGAAAGTGAATTTGAAAAAAATTACTATACTTACTACTAGTGATATTCCTCTTCACTTGTAAGTGAAAAGTCTTAGTTTCGATTCTTCCCGAACGCGAATTTTGGACCAATAATTATGGTTAGCCCATTATGAGGTTTATTACACTTCCTAACTCTTAATGTAAATAATATCGAAGACATTCAAAAATATTTTTGTGTACTAGTACAGAAACTCAAACTAGACATTGGAAAGAAAATAAAAGATAGTTCCTAGTTATCGTTTCCCAGCATTTCTAAACAAGGGGATGGAACGTATAGGAATAAGCATTGCATGGGACCCTCTTCCAACATGGAAAAATAATAATTAAATTTAAGCATCACTAACCTTTTTTCCTCGAAGCATCACTAGTTATGCTTTGGTTTGTAAACTTTGACATCCAAATGCCAAAATGGGACCAACTTACAGTAAAGCCTTTACTGAGATTATATGAACAAATGGCTGAACCAAAATATATTTATTTTTATGGGACCATGTGTCACATGTTATGCTTACAAAAGATTCTTAGACCTCGTTTGGTTTGTAGAATTGATTGAAATAGATAACTCATATTATTCAAGTTCAAAGTGTGTTGAAGTAAAGAAATGAAAAACTTGTGTTCAACTTAAACATAAAAGATGAATTATTAATTAAGAAAATTTATACATTTCAATCCTTCATCAAAATGGTAGGATCCGAAAGCGTAAGTTTCTCTTGCTGGGTCCTCTTTTAATCCCTACAAAATGAAAGGTATATCGAAGGTCAAGGTGAATATACCTTGTATATAGGTACAAAACCGCTATATGCATGGGATAGGTCTCATTTTGAGGGGATAAAATAGGACCTGGATCCTACCAATTTGTAGGAGGATTGAAAGGATAAGTTTTCTTAACGAGTAATCATTGCATATGGTATTGAAGGTAAAAATTTTCTTCTTATACCCTAGACCCTAAACCTTCAATATGCCTTAAATATAATGGGTTATCCATTGTAATTCAATCCCAAATATCAAATATGCCTTATTATATTGTTCAGGGAGTCGATAACCTAATCTGTTGGGCTGAGGAATAAGTAATTCAAGAGGAGTAACTTACTTTGTAGTTGATAGCTAATTTGAGGATCTTGATTTTTTCTAACTGTTTCGTGCGAGTTTAGAGAGTAAGGCTATCGTTGTAGTCCGACAACCAAATCTTATATGTAGTTTGACTCGTCTAATCCATTTTCATCATTTCATTAAAAAAATCAGTGTTATGATATTTTTCTTCTTAGTGTTAGAAAGTAGAGTATGTGCCAACTCTCAAGTTTAAATAAATCCTCTAGCGTTGATAAAAGAAAATGTTCGGTTGATAGTCGCATACCGGCCAAGTTATATTTCAACAGAGTGGATCTGAAAATGCCTCAAATAAGTCTTCCCCATCATTAATTCCGGTTGGCAAAATTGGAAAAGCAAAAAGCTAGATAGTACTGGTAACAGTTAGGGATGTAGAATCCCATTCAATAATAATAATTTTCATTGAGCCGCAAAAGCAGGTGAGTATGGAGAATTTTTTTCCAATGTCAATATTTAAACGGATATTTTACATGTTATAAAATAAGTGAAAGAACACGACAAAATATACTATTTTTTTAGCTGGTATTATGACATGTTGGGTATCATTTAATACTCACTGCTGCAACGTTGCATAATTCTACAGTCCTAGCACCGTTTTCCAATATTAATGTCAAATCCTCAATTAATCAACAAGGCCTAAGCCTCCTAAGCAGCTCATCAAACATGCTATATATAACAAGGCCCGAGGAGCTGATAAAAAGCACCAAAACCAAATGACACGTTTGGAATAAGCACTTTTGCACTGTTAGTATATCCAGCGGTCGCATTAGAAAGTGCTTAATTCTCAATGCCGATTCCTGTTGCTTTCCAAGGGGCTCTTCTGGGTCTCTGGTTCTGCTTCTTTGCTGCAAGCTTCTGCTATACCAATGGGGAGACCATTGAGGTAGCTGGAGAACAAGCAGCAGCCAGAACTTTTTCAGGTAATCTATATACATATATAGAGAGTTTACCTTAAGAAAAAAAAGTATTTCAAGGAAACATTAAAATGACAACAATTTAATTTAGTGGTTATATGGTTTTGTATTTACATGGTTTTTAGCAACGTTAATTTTTTTTAAAAGACCTATATAGTAAATACTATACGGTTCAAAACATTTGAATACATTGCTAAGTGGACCGCCAATTAAATCTCCCTATACTTGCGTGGACGTATAGCAAAAAACAATTTCCAAACTAATGTTAGTTCCCTTTACCATTAGTCTAATGTGTGATTGAGTAGTAGTTCTTTAATTATCATATTTATATAGTCTTCGTTATTAGTTAATCATATATTTGTTTTTTTCCTCTTACGTAATAATCTTATGCATGTCTCTGTGTCTATACTATGTCCATAATGAAGAGTTGCAAAAAGCAGAAGCCGCAGAAGTCAATGAAGAAGAGAAATTTAAAGTGCTTGCACACAAGCCCTTCTTCAAGAAGCCACCTCTACCCAAGATTCCCATTGTAAAGAAGCCATTTCCACCAAAGCCCTTTTTCAAGAAGCCATTGCCACCCCACATCCCAATCTACAAGAAGCCACTCCCTCCACCAGTTCCGGTCTTCAAGATTCCTCCCTTTAAGAAGCCGGATTATCCGCCGGTTCCGGTTGTGGAAGTAAAGCCATTTCCGAAGAAGCCAATTTTCCCTCCACTTACAAAATTCAAGAAGCCAATTCTACCACCTATTCCTGTATACAAGAAGCCACTTCCTCCGCCAATTCCAGTTTACAAGAAGCCATTTCCCGATCCTGTCTTCAAGAAGCCGATTCCAACATTCAAGAAGCCATTTCCTCCACATCCATTCCTTGGGAAGCCATTTCCTCCCATTGTTCCCTAAAGCTAGACTAGCTAGTTTTCCCTTCCAAATTACAGATGAGTAGCGCAGGAAGGTATTTACGAGTATGTAATAAAGTCCTACATGGATTGTAACTTTATTATCTTGAGATTTTGTGTTGTGTTGTTGTACCTTTAGGTTTTGCTGTTATGCAGCTACTTTGTAATACAAGCTTTGCAGTAATAAATTAAAAATATATATTACTTTTCCTTCAGTCCAAAGGATCAACTTCAACCCTTAGGAATGAGATCAGAGGCACATTGGTATTTCCTGATATTAGTACTCATATGGTGAGTAGCAAAAGAAAAGAACTAAGAACTGCTAAATTTAGCAAGCAAGCAAAGAACCATTTTTTAATAATGAAATAAATATGAGCTACTTCTTTTTTTTTTTTTTTTTTTTTTTTTGTGTGAGATTCAGAGAGACAGGTCAGCAGCTCATACTATCCCAAAACTTGCATCTTTTCACAACATGTGTTAAATTTTATTGCAAAAGACCAAGGTACAAGTAGGAATGGAAAGATTTTGTAATATGTTTGATTAATTTTCCAGTGTAGTATTTTCGTACTCTTCAATAATTAGAAATTCTGTTGCAAGCTTAAATGTTTGGTGCACATGCTCAAGCATTTGAGTCACCTTGAAAACAAGGTTGCAAGCTTGAACGTCTAGTACAATGAACGGGAAAATAGAATTAGAATCCACTATAATTACACTAAAAATTAAGAAAACTTAGAAGAAGTTGAGATTTTACCATAAAACCAATTGACAAATAGGGAGTAGCCTAATTATTTATAAACACAACCAAGGTCCCTTTTGATGAGAGATTAATACTCTCAACACCACCTTACGTGTGACAAATTTTCAAGCCTAACACGTGAACAATATAAATCGGATAACATAAAACACATGTAACCGTTAGGCTTCACACATAAGATAGTCTACTACTGAAGCCCATATGGGCAATGCATGGGCTTGTTCCTGATTTTACGCATTTCCAGTTGAAGCCCTTTCAGTCATATGTTCATCACTATACTATTCCCCCTTGGTAGGACATTGTAGGGGCACGTTACATTTTTAAACTAAACTTGTCAAGATTGGATCCCTTACATTATTATTTATGGAAAACTAATGAAAAGGACTTGAAAACTTTGAGTTTTAACGATAAGGACAAAATAAAGGGTAAAGTGAATAGTATCAAGTTTGACTTTTTAATGTAAAAATGTGATTTTTCGTTAAAATGAACAGTATCACGGACTTTTCGTTAAAACTCCCTATTATTTATCACTTAACATCCTCAACTGGCAGTCATACCGCCGATTTTTCTCCCAGACAAGCACATGCCCTTAACCAAACCTTTGGGAGCAACACTTTGAAATCTTTGGTTACCAGTGCAGTTCAACAATTAGTACTCTACTGAAAGGAACCTAACTTCGAAGTGGATCGTATAAGTCAAAAGTTTTAACTTTAATGTACTAAACTGACATCCAACTCACATTTTCATGCTCACCAGTCAAACAACATATACAAATTTCCCTTTCCAAGGTGTGTCATTTCTCACGGGCTACACTACAACACATATGCTATCCATTCTTGTGTTTGAGAAATATGTACATAAAAATTTCGAAGTATGTTTCTGGGGTTCTTTACAAATTTCTTCATGTAAAAGAAAGACGGTGCATCAAGTGAACCATCAAACGGAAGATGCGTCTTCAGCCAAACAATACTAGCATGACTCGATCGACTAACATCTTTTATTGCTTTAACTTGTAACTCAAGGTATATATAGGTTATTCAACTATAACAACGAATTAACTTGATCACATCATCAATGTTGCTACTACGCTACGGAAGATTGGCGTTATCAAAATAGGATGAGTACATATTTCCACCTACCTATGTACTGCAGAACCAATCTGAACGCAGCTATATATATATCTATTTCTGTCTCTAGGCCTTGCTATATGTGTCAATACCTTGCACTGCGAGAAGCTTCTGACTTGGTGATGAAACACGTAAAAAGCAGCTACACCTGATTTTCCACATCGAAAAAAGAGGAGTATTGGGGGAGCTTGAGTTTAAAAAGATGATGAAGTAGTTAAGGGCGGTGTGTGGCTTGACCCTGGTTCCATGCAATTCAAGGGACGTAGACAAGGGGGGCAATAAGCAGTGCTAGCATTCTCATAGTTAAACTCCACCTGATTGCACTTCTCATCTAATTCATCAAATTCCTTGGCATTCTGAAAGGAAGTGTCAATTCAATGTAAGTTAAAAAGTTGGACAAACTCAAGACTATGAAAAATTCAATCATTCTTAGTTGATTAAAAAAATGCACCCTAGGAAATACTTAAAGACGGCTTTATCCAAAGCAAGTTAACAGATTGATTCAAGAAACATGCTGCAATATGTAAGTGTTGTTTCCATCACAATTCACTAAATATACAAAAATAATTTCAGAAATATACCTGAATAGATAAAAGGTGGAATGCAGGAAGAAAACGCATCTTGCAGTATGCATTAAACATCAACGTCAGCACCAGAAGTGGAATTGTGGAAATGGATGCAGCTGGTTTTGATTTCAGTCCGAAAAGACCAATCATAGTGATTTGCATGAGAATTATTGCAACGAGAATATAATGATGGATGTAAGGCCAATACTGTCCACATGTCTCATAAATAGTCTCATAAACATCGTCAATCTGCAACATATCAGAAGTCTATAACACTTGTACTTGATATCAAAGTGCACAAAATGCTCAGCTTTGGTAGAAAATAAGTTTTAGGAATTAAGTTTTTAATGTCAGAGGTGCAAATAATATACAGTACTTGTAGTTGAACACAAGCGGTCTAACCTCCGGGGCGGACCCCAACCCAAAGGCACTAGATTGACTATTAGACTGCCTATTTTGACCCATGTTCCCCTACGGTAAGGTTGATAAGGTATTTTGACACATTCCCTTACAACTTGTGCTGCTGGTAGCTTTCTAAGAGCTATGACAAGTAACGATTTCAACAGCTAGTAAATGAAAGCATCGAAAAGGTGCCAATAAAAATTCGGACACCTGAACCTTAGGCTGCATCTAAATGCGAAAATGTTTCTAGAATGATAAGTATTTGACACCCTATATTGAGCAGTGGATAAATGTAGCTTTTACATAGATTTGACTTCCAATTACATAAAAATAAATTAAATATATTCGCAACCACTTTTTGAAAAGAAGATGAAAATCTTGGTCTCGTTGTTTCTCCGTAATTCTGTTTAGATTACAAATGTTAAGTGGGAGAAGATATGAAAAAGCAGACCTAAAAAACGAACCAAAAGAATTTAGGAGCAGTGAATTTACATGAACAGACGTATTCATAGGAACGATAACAAAGACTTCGATAATGTATGCAAAATTGGGGAAGTTAACCTGATTTATGAATACAGCATAGCCGAGCAAGAAGTAACCAATCAAAAATGGGAGCAGAAGTGGTGCCACAACTGCATATACTGTACCGATCAGCACAGACAGCGAGACCAAAGGAATGATTCTGAAGTAAGGTAACGAATAAAGATAAGGAGTTTTCTCTTTTCCACGACCATATGTACAGGACCTTATAGCATCCCAACAAAGCAATCCAGGTTGAAGGATCTCCAACGAAAACCCCGATAGCCCATCTGTCAAAATATATGTCACAAAGAAATCTGCCTGAAACATAAAAAATAAAGTGGAAGTCAATAAAGAAAAAATAAAAAAATATCTGAGAATCCACAACTATTTAAAATTTATACAAGGTTAAGAAAAAAGCAACATTGAAATATCTTTGAAAATTATGAAGACAGTCAAATAAAACGATACGTAAACTGAATATTACAAAGTTTAAGAACAACTCACTTGAGCAGAGACAGCTCTAGCAAGGCGACTGGGGAAATCTTTTGGGTGAGTAAAAGATTCACCAATTTCATCTAATAAAGAGCCAGATAATAAGCTCCAAAAGAAGACGTTTCCAACTAGGAAATAAAAAACCATGTTGCACGCTTTTATCTCCTCCCTGCTGTTTGAGATACATCCTGATAGTTTAGACATTCCGAGCATCGCAAATGGAACAATGTAGATAAACAATTTCAGAACGGCACTCGGAAGATATCCGGTTATGACAGAGCTTAACCCTGGTCTGTACATATCAACATTATCTAAGATGTCAAAATCACAAACACTAGCTATAACAAAAGCAGTACAAAGTTTGCTTAGAGAAGCTCCGAATTCAGAACCTTGAATATTCAATTCACTAATATACGAAAATTCTAAGGACAACTTTTTGCTTCATTGGACGGCTGGAGTCTGGACTACTTTCGTTACAAGGCTAGCTCAAGAGAATATTTTTTGTTAACCAACAACAAACTTCCAACTGTTAAATATAGCATGTATTGGCTTCTATATGAAATCGATGAAACTATTTTTCTTTCAAATCTTTATACTAGTGATTTCAATGTTTAATTTAATGTTCCAAAAGTTATGAATTGATAGTCAGATTGCTGCATTAATTAAGGCCAAGTTTCTAAAAGATGCTAGGCGCTAATCAGGCAGCAAGCTGGGGCCTAGCGCCTAGGCGGACTAGGCTAATTTAAGTAAATCTATTATATTTTGTGTAAATAAGTATGTTTATACTTAAAATATATATAATTTCATTCTAAACAACAAAATAGAATGACATATATTAGAAAGTATTGAAACATAATTAAAACATGGGGAACATGCATATAATGTGTATTCATTTAAGCATTCAATAATTCTCTTACAATTTATTTAAAAAAAATGCAAATGAAAGTTATCTATTTTCTGTCTAAGTGAGTCACAACATAGGCGGGCGCCTCAACAGCTCTAGGCGCGCTTTCTTAATTTTCAAATACCTAGGCATTAATCGGGACGGTGCCTAACCGCCTAGCACCTAAGCGGGGCCTAGGCAGTGTTAGGCGGAGATTTTTAGAACAGTGATTAAGGTCTATATTCCATAAGTCAAAGA